CTGTCTGCCGACTGTCCGAGTTTGATGTCCCACCCTGCCTTCAGGATAGACACCACCAGTATCCTTCTGCAAATTATGAGCAATGATTGAGGACACCAGGGAAAGTTAGCTCACCCACTCTTACCAATATTGCTTCGACAGAGAAAGGCAGACACTGCCAAGAAGCAGGTGCAGCCCTCCTGGAGAGGGAGGGTAGTTCAGCCATATCCAAGTTCAGTCTTGAGACACCTTTGTTCAGCAGGATCACGCAGGGCACGTTATTTATGTCCCACGTGTGTCTCCATTCTCCCTCTGTAAAACAGTGATACCAGCACTTCCCTGCCACGTAGTGGCATGGTGAAGAAACGTGCGTTTACAGTGGTGAAGGCCTCAGATACCAGAGCAATAAGGGACATCTCAGGACCTTGGACAATGTCTTCGCTGAGAGTTTGGGTCAACCTTCACGTTGTCCAAAGCCTATACCCTCTGACTGTCTATTGTCTCAGCCCCTGGCACCCAGGAAGCTCTGCTGAACTTCCAGGTTTCAAGTGGTCCCTGTCCCTATTCACCCCTTCACCCATCACCTTCTGCGGTGAGTTTATAACTCATCCCGGTGTGTCAGACAGGAGCATGCGTATAAAGGGGCAAGACGGGGTATTTGTCCAATGCTATCATTTACTCAAGGAGTGCTGCTGCGTGTCCCCTACAGGGGAGAGGGCTCTTTAAATCCTTCCCCATTTCCCCCCCAAATTATCTATGTCCTTGGCACAAGAAGCCCATCAGCAACAATCCCGCAAGTCACCGTTCCTACCTCCCAGATTCTCTGTGCTCTGCTTTCCCTCTCTGCTGTAAGTGGAGACAAGCCCAGAAGAAGAGGAAGTAGTAGTCTAGAAGGGTTCAGCTAGGAAATGCGGGATTAATCTTAGTGCTGTGCTTGAGAAATGTGGACTACAACCTGGATCACTTTGGTGCAGGGCATCAGGAGAGGGGAGCTGGCGTGAGGCTCACACGGGTTGAGGGATGCCCTCAAGGTCTGCCACAACTGCATCATAAGTACACCCTTACACAGATAAAAGTGTACAGATTCAGGCACAAGGCACCAGAGGGTTGATGGGGGCTTAGCTTGCAATGTCAGATGGCCATCAACTTGTGTGGTGGACTGTATTCCTGGGATCTGAGGGAGGAGCTGACTGATTTCTAAGGGCTTTTTTTCTTTTCAAGGCAGATCCTTCCCCAACCAGTTAATCAAGACAGATTCACGAAGCCCATTTCAAGTCATCAGTCTTCCTGCATTATGCATTTCTTTTGATGACTGAGCCCACAAGCAAGAGAGAGGAATACAAATGCATAGCCATCACTGACTTCTCTCCCAGGAATCGAGGCAATGAATGGGATAGTAAAACAACCTCTGGCTGAAAAATGGCTTCAGCTTGAGCACAGCAGAAAGAACAGCTGCAGCCAGGAAAACACAATTAGCCAAGGCACCATCACCAATGCAATCATGTTTTCCCTTTCTCTTTGAATGCATTATGGCCCTTAACAGCTGCCTGTGCAGCACTTCCCAACTGCAGGACTTCTCTGCACAATTTTTGGGAGGCTTATTAAGGTTGAAAGAGAGCCATTCAAAATGGGGGTTAGAGAGGAGGTGGCCCCCTCTGACCTAAACTTGACTATTGCTTGAGCCATGAGTTGACCCGTGAGTCAGGGTAGGCATGGGGAGGACAGGTGGTGCGAGACCCTTGGCCTCATGGGATCCAGACTGCAGTGGTTGTGTTATTATCCATTTGTGATTTCCATAGCTTTCCAACTAGGCCAGGCATGAAGAAGGCACAGGGTTGGATCCTCTGGGCTGCCAAGTTTTGCAAAAAAACCCCAAAATTGTACTTCCCGAGGGTACCGCTCCTCTATAGGAGGAATTTCCACTGGTAGACGTGCTTCTCATATCAACAGCTTGCACTACATTGTGGTGAGAGATGATTGCTGGAGAAGGCATGGTGGATTCAAGCTCCAATATGCCTTGTCCTCCAATGCACCAGTGGCTGAAATAAATGTCAATCCCCCACTGCTCTAAGCACCAGGGGGTGCGTTCATCAGCGCGAAGCTCAAGTGTATCTGCTCACCACCTCCAGGACCCAACATGGGCCATTTGAAGTACAACTGCATGGAGTTTGAGAGCCTCTCTCTGCCAACAACCTTCATAACCTCACAGAACCAATATAGCGAACAACTTGATGCCAATCCATTGCATTTACTTGACCTTAATAGCCCATGTGGGCTTTTTCTTTTTGTTTAAAAAAAAAAAAAAGATCTTTTAAAAAAAAAAAAAAGATCTTTTAAAAAAAAAAAAAAGATCTTTTAAAAAAAAAAAAAAAACTCCTTGGGGTTTTTTTTTTTTTTTTAAAAAAAAAAAAAAAAAAAAGCTTAATATCTCAGGTCCCATGTGCTGTAGATTTCTTGCTGCACTTGCATTTGATGGCAGAAGCCCGGCACTTCTGTGCGGATTTGTTTCCAGATCTAAGGATGTTGAAGATGGAGCAGCACACGTGGCTGTTGCCTTGCGGTGGTGCAATGCAATGTTTTCTCTGTGGTTTACTGAGTTCAGACAGAAGAACGGAAACTGGAGTCACTTCAGATTGTCCTTTCATGGTGATTTCCTGCTAATTTGAAGGCGTATGCACCAGTTGCCTTTCCACATGCAGTTATACTATATATAGCCTGTCCATGATATACAGTGGATTACATATGTTCATGGCATGACTAGTATAGCCCGAAAGTTTTGTTACAGTCAAACCACAGGGCAATTCAGTAATGCATTGGGCAAAGAAATCACGTTCTAGGTGAGACAATTATTCTTCTACTGTCCTTCCTCATCGGTGGTGACAAGAGAATATCTTCAGCTATGATATTTTACTCATGGTTTACAAACCCATTTCTTTTTCCATGTATTTTATTTTATACGTGAAGTGTCTTGCTGCAACACTGGACTTCTCTTCATGCTTTTGCAGGCCTCCTGAGGAGGAACTGCTGACTCCAGCTTCAAACTGCTTTGTGGCAATGTTTCCCCCGGTGGACTTTTCCCTGAAATCATCCCAGAAGTCAACTGTCAGTGCAATTTGGCTCCAGTTATGGATAACCAGTTGGCACTGATAACCTCCTAGGCCGCTGCACCCTAGAAGCCATGTGTGTCAAAAGCCACTTGACCTGACATGTATTAAGATGTCAGAGACAGTACTCGACTGCAGTTTCTATTCGTTAGTCACAGCCTTAGGTTTCTGAAACCCTTACACTAGCAATTACAAATGAGATGGAAGTGTGCTAACCTAGCACGCGGAGGAATACCTGACTTGGAACACTGCTGTATTTTTTTTAACCTAAAGAGTTTCACTTAGAAGCAAAATAAATCATCTTCTTAAAGCATCTATAATTTCTCTCTCTAAATCCAAGCGTGAGACAGCAAATGGATGCTAAATTCCTTGCAAAAAAAGCAAGAAAGACTAGCAGGGGAGTGTGCAACAGACCCTGCTAAACCATTTATAATTCCCCTTGGTCCGACATTGACTTGGGGGAGAGGTTTAGTCCGTTTCCTTCCTTGCGACCAGTCTGTTCCTATAACTGGTTTCCACTGAAGGTCCTGATGCTCAGACCCCTAGCACTGATGAGAATGATTACATCGATTGCAAGACAGCATTGTTTTTGATCAGATGTTGCAGTCCCTGGTAGGCAAGGAAGGGGCTGTGTTTTAGTGCTGTAAGCCCCAGCACCATAAGCAGCATCGAGGAAGACAGAGAAGAAAATAGTAGCGCCAGTGGGACGTCCTGGAAGACGTTTGTAGAGGACATAGGCAAGCAGGATGCAACACTGCCAAGGGAAGTGGAAAAGGGCATTTGTCAGTAGAGCACGCATGGTCATTAGCACTACCCCACTCCATCCATCTAGCCATGTCTCTTGTAGAAGATGCCAGGTGGTCTAGGAGATGCTACTGGCATGTTTCCTCTGGTGTTTCTGCACTCAGAGTACAACCTCCATGACACATAGCAGCACAGATAGCAAAGAGGAATCTCAGTGCTGCCATTCTTGCAGAAACCGGTTTATTATACCTGCCGCGCTAAAAGGATATAGTCAAAGTTGGAAAGCCTGGTATTTGACCTTTCCCTTACCTTATCTCTGCTTGTAAAATCTGCCTCGTTATTTGCTTTTGATTCAAAGCAAATGGTTCCCTTGTTTTCTCGGAAAAAAACCCTGAAATTAATGCTAGTAGCAGAATAGTTGTGTGCAACGTGTGTGTGTGTGTGTCTGTACATTCATGGATGTATATAGACACACACGATGAGTTGGGGAAAATCAATGCAGAAATCGGGTTCAGTGAAAATCTTCCAAAGGGAATGGAAAAACTAGTTATTTTTTTCTTTTTAATTATAAATTATTATAACCCCACTAGTGTCTTTCTAAGAGATCCTCTCCTTTGACAGATTAATTATGAATTTTTACTTCTTAGTCTATTGAAAGTTGTTTGCTCAGGCTTCATTCCTTTTTACAAAGCATAATTTGCAAGAGAAATATATCTCCACTAGTATTTGATTTTGTGTATAAAATTTAGGACTGGCTGACTAATTCATTGCCACTACGGTAATAGTCACTGAAAATTCTGACACTTCCGTTGAATCATTATTTAGGAATAATTTTTTTTTCTATTATTCTACCGAGCGCTCATAAAAATGAGCTCTTGTTAATATGCCTATTCATTTTGCTGCATTGAAATTAAAGTTACCGGCCAGCTTGGGTCTTCCATGTTGCCTGTGCAAAAATGGAAATTGGTTCAGGTTCATTGAAGGCAAAGCCTTGGGTAAAATTCAGGATCTTTATTTTCACAGAGAAGAGAGGCTATCAGATCAGTCATCATCTTAAGGGGAATGGAAGAAACGTGCCTAGAGTTGCAGCATGCCATTATTTATCTAGAAGCCATTTTCTCCAGGCCTGTGTCCGTCCACTGATCCTCTCCTTTTGCTTCTCTCCTACATTAGGGATTCAGGGACATTGACCTGATAAAATTCAAAGAGAGTGGAGCCAATCTGACTGGCTTTCAGTTGGTGAATTATACAGACACCATCCCAGCCCGGATCATGCAGCAGTGGAAGAGCAATGATGCCCGGGAGCACCCTCGAGTTGACTGGAAGAAGCCAAAGGCAAGTGGTATAGAAAGCCAGTTGTTTAAGGTAGTATCAGCCAACCTCAGGTGCTAATAGTCTTATGTCTCAATATTCAGCTAATATTCTTATGTCTCAATAAGCAGCTTGAGCTATTCTCAGTTTTTCTTGCATAAAGCATGCCCCAGCCATATAATAAAACACACCTTGTTTTTGAAAGGCAGAAGGGAGGAAAAAAGATCTTTCCTTGTAGTAAGCGAGAGTGCAGCATTTGCAAAGCATTTCATCTAGAAGAATAAGAGACTAAGACTGCAAGTCTCTTCAGCTTCTCTTCCTCTCTGTAGTCTTCTAGGGGGCAAGGTACATAGCCTACAAAATAGTGGAGATAGCATCCAGATTCCTGTTATCATGCTGGAAATGTCACGTGAAAGCATGAAAACAAAGTAAATTGCCCTGAAACCAATCATCCAGTGAGACTTCAGATAGCGGTCCCACACCAGGAGCTCCTGTGGGAGGAACCAGTACACCTACATGTCTATATGTAAGATCAACCCACGCTAACAGACGATGCTCCTCTCTCGTTCCTCTTTTAGTACACATCTGCTCTTACTTACGATGGAGTTCGGGTGATGGCCGAGGCCTTCCAGAGCCTACGTAGGCAGCGGATTGACATCTCCCGTCGAGGAAATGCTGGGGATTGCCTTGCAAATCCGGCCGTTCCTTGGGGTCAAGGCATTGACATTCAGAGAGCTCTGCAGCAGGTAGAAACGACCCCCTGCTGCTCTTTCCAAACAGGATCAAAGCATTGTTCTTCCCAAGGGTAGGCTTCCTCTATACCAGAGGCATTTTGTAAGAGGTTCCTGGAGTGAGACCCTGGGGATAAGAGTTTCAGATGGTTGATTTTTGAGGCTTCTGTGGATCATAAGGAGGTAATTAAGTGACAGTTAACTGGTATGGACAACATCTCCAATTCCCTACAAATACAGTCCCAAGCTCATCTCGAGCAGGTCAAAACATTTGAGGTTTCTTTTCTGTTCTTCTGCATTGTTCTTGCACGTGCGGTTGATCATTTCACCCTTATCCATCCTTCTCAGGTGCATTTTGAAGGATTAACTGGCAACGTTCAGTTTAACGAGAAAGGTCGTCGGACGAACTATACCCTCCACGTGATGGAAATGAAACACGATGGGATCCGGAAGGTAACGCAGAGGAGCTCGTGTCTGAAGGCAGCAGGGCACAGCTCAGGGCCTGGGGGGGCAATGGGATTTTCTCCTCGTGAATCGGGAAACGGAGGACTTTTGTGTAAAGCAGCTGATGACCTGAGCGCTCCCTGTGAGTGAAAGAAGGGGTGAGAGAGAAACCTCAGCGCATGATGTAGATGCCATAGGTGGGAGGGATTTTCAGAGGCAACCTCTGTTGGCCTAATTCTCATCCCATTGTCGTCAAGGGGAGTTTCACCGCTTAACTTCAACGGGAACTCAATGCCGGCTTGACGACCAGGATTTCCAGCTGACCTCGGTGCCCATCATCAGAACGCAATTTTCAGAAGGGCCCAATTTCCATTTAGGCACAAAAATAAGTAGCCAGATTCTCCGAACTGCTCTGCTCATTGTAGGGACTTACTGCGTTTTGACTTCTTTTGAAAATCCAACCACAATGGGAGCGGTGGGGAACCTTTAAAATTGGAAGTCCTGCATAGGTGGCTAATGGGAGCTAAACCCTTTTGAAAATCTAGCTCTGTTCATGGGTGTTGAGCCCTTGAAACTCAAACCCTTTTGAAAATCTGACTCCATCTGCACTCTCCCACTTTCATAAAAATACTCATATGGAGAGAGATTTTTTCCTCCTTTGTCCTTTGGAATTTGAAGTGCTTTAGAAACATTTTTGGTGGATGAAGAAGGCTACAATTATGCAGTGAGCTGAAGCAAGACTATTAAATAATTTAGGATTTGTGTTACCCACTGAAAAAGACACAGATGCGTGTTTAATGAGGGAAAATAGCACATGATATTTCCACATA